CTTCTTCAACAACCAATCAACACGTTATCCGTTCATTCTCTTCGCTGCTTGGTGCCAATTGGAAATAGCAAGCCTTCCTCTTCCTTTGATTCCACCAGCGAGTACTGCATCGAATACTTTCAAAGCTGGAGTACTCAGCGTAACCCGCTCTCTCCTCATACGCAGAACTATGTCAAGTATAGCTCTTACAGCTCATCGTTCTATAAGGAAGGACCATAGATCATTCGAAAATTTTTCCCTCGCAGACTACCAAAACCGACTCTTCAAATGTTAACATCGACCACGCTTTTGCGCCATATGGTAGGACGGGTATGATGTGCGACTAGTAGAGTTTGCGTTTTTGTTCGTCGAGAAGGGACTTTGCTTTTCAACTGCTTACTTAGTGCAAAGTAGTCCCTGTTGGTAAGAGTGATTGAATGAAGATATCTACTGCTTCAAGTTATGACTGTCAACAGTGTGGTGGGAGACGAGTTACAAAAGCGTTGACTTTTTATTTGTTGACAGGAGATATTTGGCCATGCCCGTATTCACTACTAGTCTCACTGTCTCGTCCAGTCTGTGGAAAGCAGAACTTACAGCGTAGTTATAGAGGCCATGATGATGGCAATATCATCGGCTTCCGTCATCCGTATTATTTTTCATTATTTTTCCCAGCATGAGATTGAAGAAGAAATACGATAGAGATTAGATAGGATTTGGCGCTTAGTAAGTTTGCCTGGTCTAAAACCACCCTCATCAGATTGAATCAGTTTGTCGACGGTGAAGGTCAATCTTTTACAAAATACGTTCTATACGATCTTATATGTAATATTGAGGAATGGGCGTAGATTTCAGGGATCGGTTTTTTTTATGGATTAAGTACGCTCATGCTTGAATAGCTCAGCCTTGAAGCGCTCAGCTCCCTCTGCTTTGTTATTCTTTATGCGCGCGAGCACTATTATAACTTCTTTATTGCCAATGTATTTGTCATCGATTGAGGTTTCCGGTTCTCCATCTCCGCGTGTTGCTTTGCAGTTAAACAATCTGGATAAGCGCTCCCTCTGTGCCAGATCCTCTTTCTCGTTTCTACAGGAAGAAGCGTCGTTTTTGAAACTTTCAGAAAGACGTCACAGTTTGGGACATTTCCCATATTGGTTATCTCCTTAAGTACTTCGTATTCGCGTAGTTCAGAGCCTCGCTTCTTTGTCTGCAAATGAGTTTCGCCTCCCTCTTCGACCGCAATAGAAAGTTATGATTACTCTATGATAAGGCGTTACAGGTAGCCATACATATATGTTTATTTTTCTGTCTGTGATTCTTTTGAGAAATTTCAAGTCCAACTATTTAAAGTCCTCTCTTTTACATCACAATGTCTATTTGCGGTGTAAATACATAAATGAGTTTCCGTGGCATCTGCTATGTGGCCAACTATAATATTAACTTTTGACGCTCTTTACTGGGGCAACATTATCTCTGGCGTCGATGACATGTGCAGTGTGAAAATGTGCGATTGCCGCTGACAATGTTGAAGGTGCGGAAGAGCGACATTGTCTCGCAACAACTTGATTTGACCGGAGGGACACAGGCTCAGGTGCACACATATACATATGTATATCCACCCAGTCGGATCCACCCAAGTAATGTAAATATACGCAACACCGTTACAGATAGAAATGTTTGCACAAGCAAAACACAGTCGTGACAATCCAACATTTATAGGCTTCTTCGTGCTCGCTGCTGCTTGGGACAAAGATCAAGGACGTTCTTTTTGTCGCTGGCCTTAAGTGTACACTAAAGAACATGCATATATATTTATGTGTGTACTTGTGAGGGGGCCTTGGTATGGCTGCGCATATACTTATTTTGAGTGCGTTGCGAAATGTGTTTGCCAACGGCTGAGGGGTATGACAAGCAGTGGTACGAAAAGAAATAAAAAATAGTTGTAAATGTTAAATAAATAGTTGCAGTCAAGCAGAAACACAATAAAAGAATGCGAAATAATAAGAAATAAATATGCAAGCACTCAAACGTAAACACACACACACGCGCGCGTATATATAGATGCAGATGCATACATTTCATTGAGAACATAAAAGTAATAACGCGCAAATACACGCATACAATTGCATTTGGCTGGTAGAATATTTGCTTTCTCATCATGTAAATGATGCCCTTAGGACGCATTCACAAGTGCGGCACTTTGACACGCACGCATGCGAACTTTATTTTTGAAATGCCAGTGTAATCTTTGTAATTTCCACTATATCCTCTTGCCTGCTTTATCATTACTATTTCTTATTGTAAGCAAAGCATTTGTATTATCATGCGGATAACACCCAGAAATGTATGAATGTATTGTACATACTTAATAATTGTGGGCACACTTTTCAAATATGCACTTTGTAATCTATGAGACTTCGGTTGTTTTTCTTCTTGCTTAATAGTTTTCAAAGGAGAATATCTTTAAATGTACAGTTCTCGGCCGAAGTAGGCCAGTGGTAAGCGGTGCATACTATCGTGCGTATGATTATGAGACCCAATCCTTGCCCAAGATCAACATCCAAAATTATAGGAAATTAATTCTTAAAATTAAATAAAAAATTATATTTATATCTTTCATGAACATGAAATAGCTTGTGTCCGAAGTATGTATGCTTCGGCTTTATGAGCTGACGAAGGAGGCTTTGAAATAGACTAGAAAATGACGTGTATTGTGAACAACTGGCCTATGATGGATTGATCAGACCTAAAGCCGCCCTAATAAAATCCGATTAAATTAATTTTATATGTATAACGAAGAAGATGAAAAATTAGAGTTGCTCATCAGAGGTTTTGTTGTTTTTTCATTTCATTGCACGCAACGGGTCCCAATCCCAACCCACAAGGTAGGATAACTAAAGCTATATTTACAAAGACCGTATACAGCCCCACCCCTGTCTAACAGACACCACAGCATGATGCTACAGGGTGCTCCATCTTGGTATTTAAACATATTTAACTCCCCGGACTTCTCTTTGTGGAGCAAGGTTTACGCCAACCAGCCTCAAACTAGTGATGAGCCCAAGGCAAACATTCGTGCTGAAATCAACGCTATAACACCCGAGATGCTCGGAGAGGTAATGGCAAATGGAGAAAAAAGTAGCCATTTTTTAATTGGTGGTAAATGTAGCCGCTTGATTCCTACTGTTTTAAAAAACTAGCCCAAAAAGATTGTAAGAAACCAAACTGAATAAAATTGCATCACTTCTAGAAATCGGTTGTTTTTTCTCAAAGTTATTTAATGTTTACATACCGACATAAAAGATGGAGGAGGAAGGAAGAAGAAAGAAAGAAAGAAAGAAAGTTTTTTTTGGCAACAGCGAATAACGCAGTCGTTAGAAGAATGAGCTGTCCGAGATGTGCGACATTATTAGTATTTTGTAATCGCTGAAGCGATTTTCGGTCGAGTTCCTGACCCATTTTGTTGTGTGTGTCTTCCTGTTTTCCAACAAATGGAGGGGCCTACAGTTTTTATTTTGAGCCGCTTCCAAAAGAAACCATCAGCTATTCGATTTTTATGAGAAGCTTTTTATTTCTTGCTAGAAATATACTCGGAGAACTTGACATTCTCAGCCAAGCAGAGACAGTAGTTAAAAAAATTAATTTTCTATAATTTTGTATGTTGGTAGAACCAGAACTCTAATCCTGATCTTCAGAATGTCAGTACACATTGCTAACCAGTCGGCTAATGTAGCCGGAAATGAGATAGTTCAGTAAATTAAGCGACAGGGGCTACACTGGTTAAGCCATGCCGTCCGATTAGGCCCCAACAATCCAGCTTTGAACACCTCTAACCCTATCAGTTTCTCTATAGAACTTGACATGCTCTCAACGTCTGATTATGCGTCACTAGATCGTCTTTTTTCTTCTAAATCGTCTTACAAATTCTGAAGGTCTCCACATTTTCCTAAATTTTTTGGGCATAGCCTATGACGTCCTTGATCACAAAGAATTAATTCAGGATAACAATAATTGAAAGTAATTTATATATCGGTGACGATTCTCTTATAAATTAGTTATACCCGGCCACACGTGGTCAAAGACGAGACACGAAAATGTCTATATGAATGTCCCGAAGTAAACCAAACACATTATTCGGATCTATCTCTATTCACACTCAAGATGGACATAATGGATAAAAATGCTAAGCGAACATATCCACATCATCTAATTTTGGTCAATCTGTCGATGAAGTTCTCTTAAAAAAGTATTATTTATGCTTTGAGCAAATCGTGCTTGGTTCCAGGTCTCTAGCCCATTTTCAGACAACAAACCTATTCCTTTAAGGCATAGCCTGGCAAACGAACCATTTATATGTGTAGGCATAGCCAGCCAAAGGATTTTTTCTCAGTAAGCCATCTATGTACCGAAAATCGAGTAACTCGATCCATAAATCCTATTTTTTCGAATACGTCGGTCTTTAGTCCTTTTTCCTGGAGAGAAGAGTAGTCTTTCTAAATAAAAATCCATCTATGTATAGAATTTCAAGTAAAAGAGCTAGGAATATTCCAAAAAGATCGGTCCCTGGGACACTTATCGCACAATTTTTTCACTTTCTCGAAAGCTTCTCCAAGAACCATAGACACAATCTGACAGAATTCCAAGCCAATCGGTCGATAACGCTTGGGGGTTTGCAGATCTTTGGAGTTATGGAACTGCTGAAGAGATTTTAGGTCAGACTTTATTTTAAGCCGCCTTCGAACAGCTGATGGATTTTTATGAGGAGCTTTTACGTCATGCCAGAAGTATACTCAGAGCGCTTGACATTCCTTGCCGAGTGGCGAACGCAATTATTAACATTTATTTTCTATAATTATGGTGTTGGCCGAACCAGGGCTCGAAACCTGGCCTTCAGAATAGCACTACGGTATACTAATCACTCGGCTATTGCAGTCGCAACTTACAAATATATTTATATATTGGTCTACGAGCGAGACGGACGAAATTATTGAACATATTTTTTTTTTCGTACCTACACTTACCTTAAATAATTTATAAGCGGTGGTTAGTAGGTAGTCCTCTGCTTAGGATTCACTGGATTTATTGTGATGTTTTTGTGCTGCTGTTTTTAAATATTTGTTCACATTTATTTGTATGTATGGTGTTGTAGTTTATACTCGTAGGAATATATTGTTTTCTTTTATTTGTGCGTTAAATTTATGAAAAGCAGTTTTTAATTTTTAATCACCCACATATATATGTATTTGCATGTATGTATTCTATAATATACTTTCACTTTAAAGTGTTTTTTTGTTTATTTATTTTTTTGAGTTGCCCGAGAGTATACTTCGTTGAGTGAAATATTCTGCTTTCCACAACTTTCCCTTCAGTTGTATTTATTTTAATAAGCTTAATTGATTAAAATATAAACGCTGATGTCTTTTTATACATCTGCATAGTAACAAAGCGAATGTGCATAAATGTACCACAATGTTTACGCCGGCAAAGTAAGCGAGACGCCGCGGCGTATGAGTAACTTTTTCGTTAATAAACAAAATTTTAAAAATTTCACCATTGGGCCTGCATCCAGAAGCGAAAATAAAATCTCAAAACACAAACGTCGAGCCAAATGAGAACAGCTTCGAAATTCTTACACGAGTAAACAAATAAACGAACTGTTGCAACAGCGATGCTGATAACGACTGAGTAGAGTCTACAAATGAGCCTTTGGTGAAGGCAATCTCATTGGAGCGCACGTTGCCGCTGACGATTGGGACTCAGTTGAACGCAAGTCTCTGTGTAGAAAACGACGTAGAATATTTATTTTTCGTGAGAGAGAGCGCAAAGCTCCCAGGCAGGTTTACTCTAGCTGAGCGCTGCTGTTTAAGTTGGTGTTTGTGGCGAGGCAAAGAGTTTGTTTTATTATTTGTTTTTATACCGCTTTGATATTCCACTTGAATTTTGTTATTGTTTAATGCTGGTCTTGCTTTCTTATGTTGCTTTGGCTGCTGTTGCTTATGTTAAGAAGATTTTTTGTTACTTTCCTACTCTAAATTGTAACGGCATTGGATGCGATTGTAGGTCCTTCGCAAGTGTTATGCTGTTATGATAGTATTGTGTAAAATGTATATATGTATATGCATCTAAATCCTTGTAAACTCAGCTACACTTCCTCGCGTACTATATTCGTATGTATGTATCTATGTTTCTAAATGCAGAAATGCGTAATATCAGATTGCGTGGAAAATACTTAAATATGCCTTGCGTCTGCTTGCAACAATAATATGGTAATAACTTTTATTTTGTTTATACAATTTACTTGCAATGTTTTAATTTAAGAATTAATGTCAAATTTAAAAAAATACGAAATTTTCTTGCCACTATACTTTTCGACTGCACTAATTTAATTTTCTTGCTTACCCTTCACTTACTTTTAATTTTATATTTATTTAATCGTTACTGAATTTATAAAAAAGCCTTTATTATTCCGAAAAAGGAAAATATATTTTTCAAATGCTTAGTTGTTGTATTTTTCTTATTTAGTTCAGCAATTGATGGTTGTTTCCACGCTGCAGCAAATTTTGATTTTCGTCGCGTTCTCGTTTAATTTACAAGGAAAACTGAAAATGCTGTCTACACCACAACCACCACTTGCTCATATGCTTAGTTAGTTTTGCCTTTCAGCGCATTGTCCGCAAAGCTTTTCGTCTCTGTTGTGTACTAATGTGGGTTTGTTTTCATTTGTCGCCTGCTCACTAGGCAACCAGTCTGTTGCTGGAAATGCAATAGAGCTGGGTTGGGGGTTTGTTTTGACGTGAGCACTACAGGGTGATTGAGATGAAAAAGAATTATACTAGAAATTTTAGCAAAAATCTATAATATACGTTGGCATATGTAATTATAGCAAATAATTTAAGGGAAGCCATGCCCTTCATCATCAGACACCTCTAATGGGGTAAATATCTTTTTCTTCCTCTGTTGACATCAACAGTTAGACTTGCTTGTTATAAGAGACACTTAAATCCAGCAGCTCTCTTAACAGGTGAGTCTTGTTGCTAGGAATGCCCCGCCCTTGAAGTCTATACTGATATAACTTGTTGATCTCTAAAAAAGCAAATCGAGCTTAGATGCTGAGGTTGTTGAGATCAAAACATAAAATTGAAATTGTAATTGCCGATTTGTTCTATAAAAGATTGTGCCCCACACTTTTCAGCGTAGTTAAAGCAATGGTCAATAAAGGAACACTTAAGGTTCTGGAATTCATCAATAAATTATTGTGGGACAGTGTGGAGTATTGACAGATCCGACTGTTACTTGCATGAAGCAAAAGCGAATCTGTAGTGGACACAGCATACACAGAAAATGAGACCCTGGAGCACCAGACTTTCTGTCCACTGAGACGTCACTCCAGCCGTTGCCTTGCGGAAGTGAGCGCGCATAGTTGCAATAAAGTAAATAATAATTCATAAAATCGGGCAAACTGTTGGCAGCACAATGAGATTATTTAATGGCTGAAGTACTAACGCTACCTGTCAGCTCCGCAACTTTAACCTTCAATCAACCAACAAACTAACAAAATGAATACAGCTAACCTCCGCAATACCTCTCATACGGAAGTCTTTTATAGAACAAATCGATATTGAAAGTCTAGATACTACATACATATGTGTGTACAACAACTAAAATTGATTGAAAATTAATTTAAAGTAAACATTTAAGTTCAATTTTTTAAATACGGTCACCCTCGGCATGGAATGTCAACTCCTCCGAGTTGAAACAAAGGCTCCTCATAAAAAACCATCAGCCTTTTGGAGGCGGCTTAACACAAACTGTAGGCCCCTCCATTTGTTGGAAAGACATTAAGACGGGGAACCACAAATATTGGGATGAACTCGGTTGAAACTTTGTTCAGCGTTTACAAGTCGCCATATATGAAGGCACAATTCTTCAACAAAGTATTTCAAAGTCTGAAGGCATTATGCATTGACTTAAATTACTGGCAGTTACTGACTTGTATATTATTGCGACGAGGATCGATAATATATTTCAAAGCAGTAGGAAGGTTTAAAAGGCGAAGCAGAAAGACAGTTTCATTCTACACTAGCTTATGGTCGAAAACGATTTTAAGAAAAGTCAGAAACCGTGATTGTCGGTTGACCGATTTCCGTAAAAGTGGCACTCGTTACCAAAATTGGAGCCACTTCTTTGCTAATCTCGTAAGGAGGCTGTTTTTAATCATTACGTAGTGCACTTTACCAGAAAAAATAAACCCCAGGCTGTGAGCCTGTTTGTGGCTCAGGACGAATTTTAGGCTAACATAGTAAAAAGAGAAAAATGTTAATATGAATGTATAGAGCTTCGGTTTCTTCTTTTTATATATTTTATTATTATTTCCACTTATTCAAATTAGATTATTTAAATCGCGTTAACCTGCTGCTTTGACTTTTTTATTAATTAAAAAATTAATTTATATTTTTTATTAAAGAAACCTTAATTTTTATTTACACATGAACTACCCTACATTCTCTCTCACAGTGAGAAAACGTAAATAATGTCGGAGAACATTTATTGTATTTTTTGTCTCATGCGCTGAGAGACCACACCAAATTCAGTCCAAATCAGCTGTAGCCGTCATCGGCGTCGGTGTATGCAAAGAGCGAGGCAACTTTACATGGTTGCGAGTTTAAAACAACCGGAAATCATTGTGGGAAAACGTTGCCGTTTGTGAGCAGACGTGAATATTTCCGCTTCAATGAAAATCACAACACGCGAGACAAGGGAAGTAATGTAATGCAATAGCGGCTTATGCTGCTGTGGAAATGTTGACCAGCTGAGTTTCTCTATATATTTATGTTACATATTCAAAAGTAAAAGCAGAGAGTAGCGAAATGAATGAAAGTGCATGAGCACAGAAATGCACACGTACATACATATACACGCGCATACACTAAGAGGTGCAGCAGTGAAGCGCAAAGTTAGCCAAGCGTTTATTTTCCTGAAAATGAAAGCTGCACTCTCATGCATGAGTAAGAGCTACTTTATAACAAAGCAAAAAAAAAAAAAGAAAAAACAACACACATTTTTTATATATACGAGTATGTATGTATATACTAAGCGAATACGTCTATAACGAATGAGAGTAAAACAAATTTTTGCCGGTTCTAGATGTGCGTATGTTGGCTGGTATATATGCAAATGTGTTATGGTGCTGCGCTCACAGTTTATAGTACGAGTATTTCCAAAGAGATCCGTTTTGTGGAGCGGTGGAGTGCTGTTGCAGAGTGAGGTATTTGACAAAAATACGATAGTTTAGCGTTTGAACAGCAACTACACTTCAACAAGTTCATATGTAAATACTTTGTACGTACGTGTATGCACGTGTGTATGTGCTTAAACGCCTCAATTTATGCTTCATCATAAGCCTGTATTTTCGTTGTATTTTCCACTTGTTTGGTTACCGTTTAAAACATGAATGAATGCGAAACTTTTTAAATGCTACAAAAAAAAAAAAAAAAACAAGGAAAAGAATTTGCTTATGGAGAACTGTTAAATTTTTCAAAAGTAAAATCTTTGAGGGATTTATTCATTTCTCGCGGGTTCCTTATGGACCTTTGCTAATTCATATGAAGCTAATAAGTCCTTTGGCAGTAGAAACAGAAAAAGGCATTATATAAATGCATAAGCTAGGCACATACATACATATATATATATAAAAATATATATATTTACGCATCGCTGAATAATATTACTGGACTCTAACAGAGGTACTTATGTACTAGTATGTGTGTGCCACATGACATTTTGTGGCATAGTCGCATGGGTTTTAGTTTCCAACGGTTGATCAAAGTGAATGCACAATGAGCACAGCTTTCATACACAATTACAACAAAAAACACAGAAATTATAAAAGACTAGTGGAATTATGTGGCTTACAGTTGCTTGTGAAATTTAAAATTTAAAATTTTCGAAGCGAGATAAACAAAATTTAACTCATTTAAAATTTTGTTATTTTAGTATATTTCAGATTTTTCAGCCCAACTTTATAAACAAAAAGATTTAAAATCAAAAATGTGACGCAAATAGTGCTGTTTTGGATTCTCAATATATTCTTTAATTTACTAAATGAATAATGTATGAAACTAACTATACAAAATTTCATAGAATAATTAAAAAAATTAAAATTATTTTATATAAAAAATTATTCGATTAATTTTTTCTCAACTTCAAAAATAGGAGCAGAAAATTTAAATTTTTTAGAAAGCTGAAATTTATATTATTTAAAACTTAGAAATATTTTGCCACTTTTTCTTCCTACATTTGAAAAATCTAATTTTAAAAATTTTATAAAGCTTAAATCAAAACTTTTTAAATTGATTAATTTATTAATTTTACTCATTTTTTCTCAATTTTGAAAATAAGAGAAAAATTTTATAAATTTAGAATTATTTTAATATTTTTTTCTCAACTTTAAAAATAAGAGAAACATTTTTTAAAGCTTAAAATAAAACTTTTTAAAATTTAGAATTATTTTAATAAATTTTATTCTCAAGTTTAAAAATGTGAGAAAAAACTTTAAAATTTTTAAAAAGATTAAATTAAAATTGTTCAAAGTATAAAATTATTTTACTACTTTTTTCTAAAAATTAGATAAAATATTTTAAATTTCTAGAAAGCTCAAATTAAAACTTTAAAGTTTAGAATTATTTAAATGCTTGTTTTTCAATTTGGAAATGAGAGAAAAAAATTCAAATACTTAGAAAGATTGAATTAAAACTTTTTTAAAATGAAAATTATTTAATTATATTTCCTCAATTTTGGAAAAGTGAGAAAAAACAGTAAAGTTTTTAGAAAACTTAAATTGTTACAAATCTATAAAGAAAATATACAAAATTGGTCGCAGGGGGCTGAACGATTAGTTTTATCTTTTGTTTTGATTTTTCTCATAATAACATTTTTTTTTGTACATACATACTTGTATGACCTCTTGTTCAGTCAAATCCTCTCCTCTACGCAATCGCTTATACAATACCAATTCTTAATGATAACTTCGATGATTTTCGGTTTCGGTACGGTGTCTCTTTGTAGAAAAATGTACGATGCTTCAGTTAGATGTTTTTTGGCGGATTTGTGACCCAAAATCTCAAATCTGAATAATCGATCGCACATATGCTATAGTGATCCGATCTAACCGGTTCAGACAAATGTACCAAGTTTAGTTAAAATATCTCTTAAATTGTGGAACTATTAAGCGTATAGACAGACTGATAGATAGGCGGGCAGGGCAAAATAAACTCAACTAGTCCCTCTGTCATATGGGTATACATTTTATGGGTCAATTTTTTTTTCCAAATATTCCGTTTTATGTTGGTAAAAGCTGAAGAAAATTTGTTTTGAGCCATGCCCTGCTTACAATAGACCAGGCGCTTTGTAGAGCCAAATCTCTTTCTAATCGACTGTGGAGTCAATCTTGCGTAGTTCCAGAGTTCTCCCATTGTACTTTCTGATGGGACCACGCTCGAGAATATACTTGGAAGTACTCTTACGTAAAAGCCATTTAAAGTAACTTTGTTTGCCTTACTGCCTTGAGATTTTTGCAATCTTTGATCCGTTGGAGTCAATTTTTGAGCACTTCTTTGCAAATAAATGGGGGGTATCTCAGTGATAACTAGAAGAGTGTGGATTTTCAAGTGCTCAAGTTTTTTCCGCATAAACACGGTCTTTCGCGAAGCACCACAAAAAAGTCCAAAGGAGTCAGATCGTACGATCTCGGTGACCAATTGACATCGCCAAGACGAGAGATTACTTGACTGGGAAATCTCTTTCGCAATGAAACCTTTTTTACCTCGTGCGTGTGATATGTAGCACCATCTTGTTCATACCACATTTTGTCCAAGTCATGTTCTTGAATTCCAGTCTAAAACAAGTCGGTTATCAAACGACTATAATCCTCCGAATTGAAAGTAACAATCTCGCCTTAGTCGTTTTCAAAGAAGTAAGGTCCAATCACACTGTCGGGTCAAAGAGTGCACCAGACGGTAAATCTTTCCGGGTGTAATGAGCACTCATCAAATATTTTAGTATTCTCAAAAACTCTAGCAAGTGATAACTTTGCTTATCTACTTATGCCTCGAGTAAGAAATTTGTCTCATCGCTTTAAAAAAATTTGTTCGAAAGCTCGCCGTCTATTGCTTGTTGTTCAATCACCAATCGATATATATACACCATATTGAGTGATCAGCTGCCTTCAGAGGTTCTTCGAAATGGTCATTATAAGGTTGTAGGTGTAAGTCCAAGTGCAATGCACGCCCTAATGTGCCGTAAGAAAGTCTGAGCTATTGCGAACGTTGCGAAATATACACTTCGGGTCTTCAGCAAGATTTTCACTTAAAGAAGCAATATTTGAGGAGGAACGAACAAAACGATGATTGTTGCACAGGACTTACAATATCTATAACCGATCCATTGCCTTTAAATTTCTTTACAATTTTACCAATAGCATAGTAGACGGCTATGTGCACCAAACACTCCTATAAAAGCACGAAACGTGGCCACGTTTGAATAACCATTTTTGTTGTATGTTTTAACAATTTTAGCAAGTAGTGTGGTTGTTAAGCGGTCCATTTTATAAATACCTGTCCTTTAAATAAACCAAGACATGTGACTCTCTATTACCGACCGTCCGACTTCAAATCGAATATGTCGTCCGTTAGAACCCAAACTCCCTCTTCTTTTATTTTCTTTGATTGGTTGGCCTTTTAACATTGTAAGAGAATCATTTGTATTCCAATCCCTTGGCATCCAACAAATACAACATCTAATGTCAATGGAGCCTGAGAAAAATACAAAAAATATTCGTGCATATTCGATATATAACGTAGTGTATGTATTGTATGTTGGCAACACAGCCAGCGGCCCCATAGGCATTGAAAGTAAGGATTGTGCTACCGAAAATTCCCACACATAACAGGCGCGCAGAAATCCACAGCAAGCAATGTTACGAACGAAAATTACGCAGCCACCTTCTACACGTTCCTGTTGACCTAGTGAAAAGAGCGAAATGTGCACATTGAAATACAAGCGCATCGGCACAGGGTGGCATAGAGCAAATGAGAGCAAAACAAATAACCAATGAGTTTTGCCTACTTTCAGGCACTCACAAAGGGGTGATAGCAGCGAAAACGCTGTGTGTGTTTAAATGCGATGTGGTGCATGCATTTGAATAAGTATTTCAAATAAAAAATCTTTTCTTTTTTTGCTTTTCGAATTTATTTATTTTTATAGTAATTAGTTTATTTTTAATTTTATGAATCGTCAGCAGTTTACATATACATAGATAAAATGTATTTAAAGAATTTAATTTATATTTATTTTTATTCAGTAAATACAAACATAAGCAGATGTGCATTTTTATAATTATTTCGCAGTAACATTATTTTTAATACATATATTTTCTATAATTATTAAAAATAAATTCATAACTTTTAGAAAGCATACAAAATATTCATATGAATTCATTATTATATGTATATATGTATAATAATAAAAATGCAAATAAAATTTGCTTAGTAAAATAAAAATCGTTGGTTTGTTCGTTTGTTTTGTCAATACTACAAATTCATACAATTACAAACTTAAATATAAAAATTTAACTTAAAGAATTATTAAATAAGCTAGCCAAAATGATATGTGCGTAATATGTTTGGTTGTTGCTGTACAATTGTAGGCGCTAAAATACTTAGAGTAATATTATATGTAACTTACAATATATGTATGTGTGCTTGTATGCTTAATGATTATAAATAATTAAAAAAAAAATACTAATAAAATTTATACGAGATACGATTACATTTTTAAATTTTCATTCTTTATTTCAATTTTTTTTTTTTAATTATTTTTTTTTTTAACTAATTTTTGTTTTTTTTTTTAATTATTTTAATTTCTTTTTAATTAATTTTTATTTATTTTTTTTATTTTATTTATTTTTTTTTATAGATCTTATGAGATATTTTAATCAGCTTGAGATTTTATTTAAGAGCATGCCAGTAACCACTTCTCTCGGATATATGCTTTTTATGCTTAATATTAATTAATTGAATATTTTTAACTAGTTCATACTCATTTTTTTCCTTTAAATTACATTGTAAATTATATATATAAATATAGCGTTAAAACTTAGTGAAAAGATAATGTCAAACAATTAAATCTATTTACAGAATTTTATAAATATTCTTTTTTTTTTACATTAATGTAAAATTTCAGCAAATATTCAAATATAGTTCATGCTAATGTCAGGTAATATTATATATGTATGTAAGTTTAATTTGTCGGAGCACGTGTTTGACTTTGCACTTAACATTTCTCTGCCAGATCTTCGCTTAACAGTTCATATAGTTGGGCGACTCGCCACCACTAGCTTCCTCCGTTGTAGCACACTCCTTGCCATTCTTCACCACTTCGACTTCTTTGATTTGTTCCAAAGTGGAACCGATATTCTGGTAAACCTCGGCCTGCACTTCGATGCTGCCCACCTGTGGCACAGCCACCTGCTTTGGTTTGAACGAGCTGCATGTCGGCGAGCTTTTCGTCAGTTTGCCATAGATAATATTCGGACGTTCGTTAATTTTTATCGGTTGCAGCGTGACGCCATTTTGATATGAATGATTACCGTTACAATTAACACTGCCAGTGACACTGTCATTCTCCTTTGCCTCCATTATGGTGTTCAAATAGTTATTTGGCTGGGATGTAGACAAATTTTGGCTGGTGTAGACGGGTATATTGGAGGGGAATATTTGATAGTGCTCGCTGCCGGTGGGACTTGTGGGCGTATTCAAACGCTGCAGCGATGATTTTGGTGAGGGGAAGACCAATTGATGGCGTTCTTCGCCCGGTGTTGAATTGGGTGTGAGTACTGGACGTGGTGGTGGCGGTACAAGGTAGTTGTCCATGAGCGTGGCCGGTGAAGCTAGACGACAACCAAAACGTCGTTCTTCATGATCAGAATGTGTGCCGGAGTCACCGAGCGATGCACCGCTGCAATTACTGCCAGTGCTTAGGCGACCCGAAGATGATGAGGAGGAGACACTTTGTAGACTAAGCGAACTTATTGGACGCTGTGTAGACTTAAAGCTTGAGCTGGTCGTAATGGAGGACTTGGTTTCATCAAGCACGCTATCGGCACAAGATGTTTTCTCTGGCAAATTCGTTGTGGATTTATGACGTGAGAAGAGTTTCTTAATTTTCTCAAATGGCGTTTCACGCTTCAGCTGCAGTCGAAGATTTTCCTGTATGCGATCGTACTCTTTACGTAGTTGATCGATTTGTTCTTGCTTCTCGCGAAAGCTTTGTTGCACATCATTCCGATGCTTCCATTTTTCGACCAACAACTCGACATCGTGTATGCTGAGCACATTGTTTTTGAAGTCGTGCATAATTTCGGCCAATTCATCATCTGCGTTGGAGCGCGTGGTTGCACTTGAGGCATCTGAAGCAGTGCGCTTTAAGGTACCGTAAGTGGGATTTTGCCCGGCACGCGAGGATGAACTTAACGAACGACTCAAGCTTAGACGGTTTTGTGGGAGTAATTCATCTTCGACGGGTCTATTCGAGGGTTGGAAGAGATAATTGCCGTCATCAGCTTCTGCGCTGGTCGTAACTGTAGACGCTTGTGTAAGCAAGGGTTTTGGTGGTATTGGTATATTCAATGGCTGGAGGACATAATCATTGCCAGCTGTTGTGCCAGTGCAATTTTCAAGCAACTGCGAACATTCGTGACTGAACTTATCCGTCTGGTACGGCGAATCAGTGACATCGACTGATTTGTTTTGCTCTTTTGACTGATAGTATGGGGGTTCGCTAATACGTAACTCGTTCGTGGTTACCTCAGGTGTGGTAACGACCTTTTCAAAGTTCTTACAAACATCTGCGGAGGAGCCCTGTAAGTTCTCATCTTCCGTCTCAACGCTAATGTAATTCAGGTTCGATACGGCCAACGTCTCAATTTTCGGCTTGGAATCGGGCGTATGCTCACGTTCAGAGCCGCTCGACATTTCCATATACTCTGCCGGTTGGGGATCCTGTGGTTCTGGCGCCGCAGGTTTTTGGGCTTTGGGTGGTTTAACCTTTGGTGATGCAGGCGCCGACTTCACTGCCTCAATAACAACTTTGCTATTACTTGGATTGCTAAGGTTTTGATTGATGCTGCCCACTTTACCGTTTACTAACGACTGATTATTATTATTTGTTTGCGCACTACCGGCACCGTTAATACCCTTGAAATAGTGGTACATTGTGGTGAGCTCGTGAAATTCGGAGAAGCTAACAATATTTGTGGCGAGCTTGTGATGACCCTCCTGTTCGGCCAATTCAGCGGGTGTCTTGCCAATGCAGTTGCGTATGCCGCAGGCCGTGTCGCCGCCGGGACACTCCATTAATTGTATACAAAGGCGATTAAGACCCCAACGTGCAGCAAAATGCAAAAGTGTCGGGTACTCTTCAGGACTCGATTCGCGTATGGTTAGGAAATGATGTTGTTTTTCGTAGGGACCGTTGAGTAGATGGAAATTGGGCGGCATATTTTTCTGGAAACATTGCAACAAATGTAAATCGAGCGCATCACGTTCAGCTGGTCCAATACCGAGTGAGTGACACATGAACTCGATGGGTGAGTCTTCGGTGCGTAGTAATTGCTCGAGCTCGCGCATGCGACTTTCACATTTAATTGGACGAGCGCCAAGGCTTTTCTCATTTTTTTCGATACGTATCTCCACCATCGTTGAGATTTCCATGCAGGACTCTAAATTTCGGCAAAAAAATAAATAAAAAAAGAGATGAGTGGTTATGTAGTAAGAAGTTATTTTTATCATATAATTTTATTTTATTTTATTTTATTTTATTTTATTTTATTTTATTTTATTTTATTTTATTTTATTTTATTTTATTTTATTTTATTTTATTCAATTTAATTTAATTTAATATAATTTAATTTAATTAAATTTAATCTAATTTAATTTAATTTAACTTAATTTAATATAATTTAATTTTGTTTTCTTAAATTTAATATTATTTTATTTATTTGAGTTAATTTTATTTTTCTTTTACTTTAATTTACTTTATTTTTATATATTATTTTAATATTTATTATTACTTTTTTTGTTTTAATTTCTTTTAAATTGTTTTATTTTTTATATAAATTCTTTTTATCTTATTTTATATAAAATAATATTGTTTTATTTATATTTTATTCTCTTTATTTATTACTTTAGTTATTTCGGTTTGATTTTATTTTTGTCACTTTCTTTTACTTATTCTTTCAATTTTATTTAATAAATTTCAAGTTATTTTATTACTTTTCTTAACATAAATAAAAAATTTAAGCTAAATCTCTAATTGCATTTCTTTTTTTATAATGAAGTTAAATTCTGTCACATTTCTTATCTACCTGGTATGGAGAACTGCACTGTAAATGGATTGCGACATTTGAAATTTCTGATCTCAATCAACTCGCCAGATTTTTCGACGATTATTTTGATTGTGTCATCTTTTTCCAGTGGCTCGGCCAGCATCGCTACGACTTTATTTTGTCCAATTTTCACTTTCTTTGGCAGTATGGTAAAACCTTCCGAACAGCTGGAGAAGCTCCGCGATATGCTGCTGTGATCATGACAAGGTGGCCGTTGGCAGAGTGCGCGTCCCAATATGTCTGTAGCTATGCCAAGTATATTGCTGATTTGCGCTTGATCATTGTCACGAATGGTGCAGCGGCGCCATTTGTAGTAACTGGGCAGTGCTAGAAAGTGGTATATGAAATAAAATATTGTTTAATATTCAAAAAAGTAAATAATAAAAAAAGTATGTAAACTTATGCATAAAATATTAGTAACTGAAAAGCCCGGTTGTTTTTCAAACAAGCTTTTGTACACAAATTTTATTTAGGAAAATACATAATAATGGCTTTAGAAGCCAAAGAGTTTGTGGGTGGAATTTATTATTAATATTACTAATGAAAATATAATAAGAAATTAGAAGATTGGCTTAAAACTCTTGTCAAAATCAATGATGAAGGACATTTCTTGTAAACGTGAAAAGCTCGAAAGAGTTTTCATTAAAGTTGTGATGGGAACACCTCAGCACGAGGACTTGACTAATCATTGAAAAAACCCACAAACGAGTTTTGAATTTCAACAGAAATTCAAATTTAGTATATTTTACTAAAAATCTTTGTTTTTCATTTCATTTTCTTTTAGCTTTTCTTATAAATCTTACCGGTTTTTTGTATCTCCTTGACTTTATCCTCTGTAATATCCAATAAAATACCCAACACTTTCTCTACACGTATAATGGCAGATAATTGTGAGAGTAAAAATGAGTGTGAGAGCGCTAATAATGCTGGACAGAGTATGACAATCTGTAAGGCGGTATTTTGATATTTGTGAGCGATCTCCTCACTGAATGGGCCATCTTCGATTTTAATGTGCAAAAAGCTAAAAAGAAATGGAGCAAAAATAAATATAAATAAATAAAATATAAAAAAAAAATATAAGAAAAAATTTAAAACCAAAATAAAAGAATGTGATGGAAATAATTTGAGGAAATTTAAAATAATTAAGTCCTCTTTTTTATTTTAATTTTAATCGTCATTTTAATTTTCATATTAATCTTAATTTCATTAAATTTTATTCGTCATTTTAATTTTAATATTAATCTTAATTTCATTTACACTTTAATTTGAATCTGATTTTGAATATCAATTATAATTATAATAATTTTATTTTAATTTTAAAATAAATAATTTTTTTGCTTGTAAGTTTACTTACTTGAAAGGCTTGCGTCCACGTTGTTTTGTAATTTTATCAAAATGATTTTTCAAAAAATTGGCGCGCAATATGGCGCGTTCACTATGCTTTGCCGTTATAATTAGTATATCGTCCATATTATAGGCAGCCGAACTGTTCACGGATGAGTTGCTTACTGTGCCGCAGTTATCTGCAAAATGAAATGGGAGAAAATTATTGAAGGAGAGGTTAATTGAGACACCTAACATATTATATACCTACATATATGTATGTATGTATAATTTGTCTATATATTTGTATAAATATAAAAGTATGTATTTGTTTTTAAGTTAACATACTCGTAGGTGGGTGACTAATAAATAAAATTTAAAGTTTGAAAGGCATAAATTAAAAAAAAAAATATATATATATATATATGTACAATATGTAAAAAGAAAACCAATACAAGTGAATAGAAAACCACAGTGAATGCTTACTGATAAGCCACATGCATACATGTTTATGTGTATGCAAATGTAAATATACGCTTATATTGAAGGCGATAATTTATGTTTGTTATTTACTTAGGATTTGTTATTGGCAATTTATAGGCAGACATTTGGTGCATATTCTTCGCCGAGTTTTTTGTAATTTATTTTTGTGTTTGTGAATGCACTTTTCCGACTTTATTTTTTGTTTGTGGCTTAAATTGTTTTTCTTTTCCATTTTTCATGTTTTTTTTTATTTCTTTTGCGTTTTTTATTTTTCTGTTTTGTTACTTGAGTGACAGCAACCGAACAGTAAATACGTCATTTGTATACCATTTGTCGATAGCACGCTGCTGACTTACATACATCAAAACATACATACGTAGCTGACAGCCGCCTTTGCAGCATTTTGCCGCGCAGATAAGCCGGCCATAGTCGCAGACAGTGTGGAATAGTACACTTGATGTGCTATCGAAGTTAAAGACACCGTGAATGATCGCATGTAATTCTGCGTTTGTCAATGAATATTTATGTGTATATGTATGTTTGTGAGTATTTGCAGTTGTCAATGGGTTGTCAAATGGTGCAATATTTATATTTATTTGTATTTTCTTAGTTTAATGCGGAAGAAAATGAATCGTAAATACCGTTTTGGTATTTTGAATTTAAGATCTTCATTTCCTGTTGACCCAGTTCTCAGGGATTTGTGAAGTTTTCGCTTGATTTATTGCAAGAATAATTATCAAGATTGAAATATACACTTTTTTAGCGGATAGATTTGAGCGATTTTTAGAAAAAAATTATTTTCATAATTTTCGCATGAGCTTAAAATGGAAAAAAAATTAATTAAAAATATGTTATTAAAAAATAATTTTGTTTTTTGGAATATCATACGAATATTGCATTTCATATTTCGGGATTAGAGAAAACAGAAAGGTTTTAATCAACAAAAATCTCTTTATTTTTTTTTTTTCAAAATATTCTCCATTAAAACTATACACTTTACCAATGCCTTTGCCCCACTAATTAAAACATGCGTTTTAACCAGATCAACCAACTCTTCAGTTGTCGAAAAATGTTGCGGGAATCAAAAAACATGAGGGATTCAAAAGAAGTCATTCAGTGGTGGGGAAAAGTGATCCACCTCCGACGATTGGTTTTCCTATTTGCTTTTAGAGACAATCAGTTGTTTGTAAGTGCTTCATACTCCTTTATATTCATGGAATCTAACGTGAAAAAAAGAAAAAAATGTTAGAGTCAAATAGCCATGCAATGTTGAAAGCGATAGGTCATAATACGATTTTGCAGCATTGGTTCGTGCACAGCTTCAATATGTAGTTTCTGAAGCAACAACTGATTTTGGCCGTCCTATTCATCTTCACCAAATTCACCAAACATTGAATTAAGCTCAACGATGCATTGTTGCTGAGTTAGTCCACATTGAAGGTTGTAAAAAAAATTGATTTAATTTCATTTTTTATCTGGGATTAATATTCAAAGATACTGTAAGCAACTGAGTATGTATAACATCAAAATTTGCAATGAAGTTGTTAGCGGTCAGATTGCAAGAAAAGGGTTGCCAGATCTACAAATATTAAAAGCGAATATGAGGGATCTGGTGAACTGACTTAATGTGTTCCATTGTCCACAACTTTTTTTTTTTTTGCCTGTTTAGTTGTTGTTTCTATTTATCAAATATATACATATTTAATTCCACTTTTGTCTTTCGTATTTTATTTTTACATTCTTGCAGCGTTTACATACATCTATTCGGCAGCCATCAAGAGTTTATCCCGCTCACCAGCCCTAGTCATTTGCTAGGTCTCTATCCTCTTCAATTCTCTGCCGTGGCATCGTTGACTTTGTGGCGTCATAATTTTTTGAGACGTGTCTACGCCGTTGTATATTAAATAAATGTGGGGTTGTCCCCAAAAGAATTTTTGCTTTTCATCTGTTGCTTATACGCACGAAACAGAACATAAATAAATATTGTACAATGCATAAAAAATACTCTGAAGACAAATGTTTTGTACGTACTTCTGTATGTATATATGTATGTTAAAGGCATTATTTTGGCTTTGCTATTTTTATGCTTTTGCTTTGGTGCTTTATTATATGTTTTCTTGCCATAAAAAATGTTCTTCTGCTGAATTTTATGTTTAGTAGGGGAATTGAAAGGATTAGTTGGTGCAGTGTTTGTGGACAGTTTTTAAAAGTATTTATGCGTTACACATAAATATGTTTAACTTTCAAGAAATAATGGCGAATAAGTGAATTTTTGGAATTTATAGTGCAGGAGGAAATGTTGAAATTAGTGGATTTTTGAAGATGTCAAGAATTAGTTTTGACATGAAGTAGCTTAGTGTAACTAGTTGATAAATATATATATATTGTACAAAATATATGTGATAAATAGAAAGTTTTGTAAAGAAGACAATGTATATACTATTTCGGATCAAAAACGGAAACCAATGAATCTAGCAATAATAGTCAAAAGAGCAAAAGATGATAAAAAAGCGGAGTAAGCAACTCAAATAATTTACTAATATATTTTTAAGCTTGATATTCTTAGAAGCATTGAAAAATTCAAAAATAAATTTTGAGAAGCGTTGCCAACCTTTTTTTTATTAAAAAAGAACCTATTGCTAAAATAAGATCAGAAAATAAAGCTTTTTCAGCTATCTTTTTATAATAGACGCAATACTACAATTAAAAGAATTTAAAGAATAATTTAAAAATATTAGAAAAAAAATTAAAAATCAATTAAAAAAAAATGAAAAAAGTTTAAAAAAAAAAAAAAAAAATTCATAAATTTTATAAAAGGTTTCTGTAGCCGCGGTAGCCGAGTAGTTCGCATTGCGTACTGCCATTCGGAAGGCACGGGTTCAAATTTTAATAAAAAATTAAGGTACATTTTTTATTACGGTCGCACCTCGAAATAAAGATCCTCACAAAAAACCATCAGCCGTTTAGTGGCGGCTTAGTACAAAATGTAGGTCCCTCCATTTGTTGGGAAAACATGATGACGCAAAACCACTTCGGAGGGCAAATATTGGAAAATGGTTACAAAGCGCTAATTATATATACATATATATATAGTAAAAAATTATTTAAGAAAAAATGAATAAATTAACTTTTCAGTATATTATATTTTGTGCTAATTTTTATCTTTTTTATTGTTTTTTTTATACTCGACTAAACTAGGTGCACGTGCTCCTCATAAGCTGCTCATTAGGTTGGTTTAAAGATAATCGAGATGGAGATGGTCATACATATAAATATATATGAAAGGTTTAATGGAATCGTCATTTCGAAAAACCGATTTAGCCATGTCTGTCTGTCTGGCTGACCGCGTATACGATAACTTTGATTACCATAAACACTCTTATATAATGGTAAAGGATATCCCGATAATCTAGTAACTAAATCTGAAGTCTCTGGCCCACTTTCCAAAAAGAAGAGAGGAGTAGCAGCAGTTTACTTAATATAAGTAAAAGACAGCTGTGTACTGAATTTAAAGTAAAGCGAACCATAAATATAATATTTTCAATAGTTCGCTCCCTGGCGCACTTCCCAAATAATAAATTATAGTCAATTTTAATTGTAAGAGACTATTATAAGATGTGTAAATTATTATAGCATACAATTAGGGGCGTAACCGGCATACGTGCCAAATGACAGGTGAAAGCGTTTTTTTTAATTATTTAAAATATATTTTTAAACGGTATAACAAATATCGGCATGTTTTCGTTGAAGTTACAAAATAAATTTCTTCATTACCTTTTTTGCATTTCTCATACGCGGCTGCTTGATTTATCTCATTTCGAACAGCCATTTTTATGCACGCAAAAGCAGTTTATTATGCATAAATAAAATAAATATCAAAAGCATTATTTCAACATAATTTTGGTCTCATTAAACATTATTATTATGAACACAGCAACTGCCTGAACAATAAATAATACACTTAAAGCCCACTTAATAACAAATTGTAAAGCCTTTCATGCGTGCACATACATATGTATGCATTTTTTTTTTATTGTACACAAACTACAAGTACAATAAATTCAGTCACGTTTTGGGCATTTTAACAAAATTAAACAAACACAACACTTTTCTGTTTTGTTTTCTTGTTTTTTTTTGTTTTTGTTTTTTATGCGCTGTTTGAGTGAGGGGAATGCAAGTCGACGAAATGAGCAGCAAATTCACACGTAAATATTAATAAATGTTTTATATTCGTATTGTGGCTTTTGTTGTTGTTTGTTATTTGCTTTCGTTTGTCGACTATTAAAGCTAATAACAAAATCACTTAAGCTACTGTGACATCGTACTGTGTCCCACGCTTCGCACAAGTTTCCGCGTCGCGTGCATCTTCTTGAATTGATTTTAGATTTTTACATTTTAAAAAGTTGAAAAAAAAATAAAATAAGACACAAAATCTTTCACTTCCACACTTAGCACGCTATTAGAAACAAACCAAACGTCGCGCAACGCGCCGAGTTCACAAATGCAATTGCAACACACCGCATTCTCAAGGCAAACTGTCGAAGCTGGCCGCTGGCGTGCGCGCCCAAGATGGAAACGTTGTTGGGCTAGAGAGCGCATTACGCTTGCTGCTGCGGCTTTTGCACTGCTTGACACCCACCAATGACAATGACGGCGTCAGCGAAAACAATAACAAGAACAACAGCGCATTAAACGTCTGTCAAGGCAGCAAACAGTT